GGGGGCTCTGGGAAGCCAAAACAAGGAAGAAGAGGAGGTGTGTGACCATTGTTGAGCGAGAGAGAGAGAGGTGACTGCCAAGATCAACAAAGAGAGCAGGGGGAAAAGTGTGAATGATGTCAAGTGACAGATAAACCGGTGTGGAAGAGGAAACTAGGGAGGCCAAGATTGAGAAAGATGACAGAATAGAGGGATGGAGAGAATCCATGGGTTAATTGAAAGAGAGACACAGAGACTGGCTAACAGAGCATGTAGTGAGATGGATAAAGGGAGCCCAAAAAAACAAAAGAATGAGGACAGTGAGAAATACGCGAGATAGCAAACGAGCAGGAGTGAATGAATGAGAGAGAGAGAGAGAGAGAGAGAGAGAGAGAGAGAGAGAGAGAGAGAATCTGCTCAAACTCTGTGGATGTGTTCAGGTGCCAGCACGATTCCTCAGCCAATAGACAGACTTTGTTCTCATTACTCCACAGACAGCAGGGAACAGTTAGAGAGCGGAGAAACAGAGAGGGATCCCCAGAGAGATGTTTACTCATGGGGCTGCCTCTGCTCTGCCGGTCCAAGCAGGGCGCAGAGGAGGGGAAGATGTACTCTTTGATCCCCATGGTCTGTGAACTGCTGAGCGGGCAGACTCTGACCAGTCTCAGTCTCTCTGTAGACCTGCCTGAAGGCCTGGACAGTGCAAAGTTTATTTACACTGGGCCAGCAGTAAGTTATAGTAAACAGTGAGGCTGTTATCGATTAGATGAAATTGCGCTGGATTATATTCATGTATCGTTTCCTGAGAATCCCTTGTGCTTAGGTAGGCGGTTTAAATCAAGTGCGGGAATGGCGGACTCCGCCACTAATAAACTTTACTAATAAACTATACTACTATACTATTATATAGAGCAGTAATGACTGGGTCTGAATGCATTTACTGTCTATTGCAGAAAACTGCCGATCATATGTAGACAGTGATAAAGCTTTTGAGTCATGAAAAGTAAGAATGCACTGATACCTTTATTGGATAATCAGCCAATATTACCTCAATAGCTGGATCGGGTAATGTCCGACACTGGGGCCGATCTATTCAATTCAATTCTATGTTTATACACTATTACAAACTGGAATATTAATTCCTGTTTAAGTTTTGATCAATTTGTTGCTGCATTAAAAAGGTTTACATTTGAATTGTAATTTTAGTGAATTTTTTTTTTTACATATTTCATTATCATCATTATCATATCATTACAGATTTACATATTAACATATTTGCTAGTATATGATATTTTATTTTAATAGTTCATAAAAATTCAGGAAAGCAATGTTTAAGTCAAGCCTTACACATGATCCCAGTCTCTTCCACACAGTGAGGCATACAGATTATTAATTAAGCACTGGTATCGGATTAGTACTCTGCATCGGCGGATAACAAAAGCAGAGGGGTCGTTATCAGGACTTGAAAAACAGATCCATGCATTCTTAATGAAACGTTCCTTTGGTACATTCTGCTGCAGCACTGCTCTTGCACCGGAGGATAAATAAATGTGAAAACATTTATGCCTTGTGTAAAATGGAGGGAGAGGATGGTTTCATGCATTTATTTATTTATTTTGTCATTCATTCACTCATTTGCAGCTACAATGATTATATAAAGCCACTATGCGGAAGCAAAATGCACTTAAATAGAAAGGGACGATTGGTTATGAAATGGCTTGGAGAGAAAAACAATCTCTCAAAGTTGTAACAGCATTCTTTTTTTGCATTCTTTTTTTTATATTCTGAATTCAAATATTCCTCAGTGGGCAGACTTAATTTCTAAGGGCCACTGGAGATCCAGTCTGTTATTAAGAATGAATCAGCCGAGTAAACTAATAACTAATGTCCTCAATCCAGACTTCACGGTTGGCATACCAGCTAATCCTTCAAATGGTGCAGCACGGCTGCCTGAGGTGCTTAAGTGTTGAGTGAAAAATCAACCGACTTGGAGTTATGCAGTCTGTTACTGAGTTGTAAAAATTGTAATTGTCTTATTTAAAAGAAAGTTTTACTGATCTCCAGTAGAAAAATCTGTTTTTTTCAGTGCTGATTTCTAGAAAAAAGCAGAAGCATTAGAAACTGCACTGGGAACAAGTAGATTTATCAGTTTCCTTTTGAAGTCTGAACAGTTTGAGTTGCTCTGAAGATTGTTTTACTGCAGTGAGGCTGACATGATTTTGAGATTAGGTCCACACTTCTTTATCTATTGGCCGCAATATGCCTCTGCCTTTGGGCAAATTTCAAGTCATTTAGGACGCAGTGACAGTGGTAATGTGGTGCTTCAATCCCCCCCCCCCCCCCCCCCCCCCCATTGAAATAGCTCAACGCTTTTCAGTGCCTTTTTAAAAGATGCACAGAAAGATTTAGGTGAACTGTACATTCATGACTTTGGGGAGAATCTCGTCTTCAAGACTCCTTGTGGCTTTTATCACTAAAATGATTTGGTTTTGAGTCAGGCTGTTAACCAAGGAGAGATGGAGCGCGTGTGGGCGTGCGTGTGCGCATGTCTGTGTGTGTGTGTGTTAAAGGACTACCAACATGATGTCAGTGCCAGGTCTAGTCTCTCTCTCAATTTCTTCCCTCTATCTCTCTGTCCCTCTGTCAGGCTTCCCAATAGACTTTCACTGTCCTCGGCTGTGGGGAGATAGGGACAAATATAGGACTTGATTTGGTATTGGATGGGGGGGCGAGGCTGAGATTGTCTGCTGGATGCCTCAGGTGAGATATATGTATGTCTGGTACTATGGAGGGGGAAAAAAACTTTGATTAGGTGTTAGATGTCAGGACGAGTGATATTTTCGGTTGGTGTTATACTTGAATTGCTGGTGGCAATGTTGGTCTGTCGGTCACTGCTCCAAATTTCCGAACTGAAATATCTAAACAACTATTTGATGAATTGCAGTGATATTTTATACAGACATGTATGTTCCCCATGACGATGAATCCTACTGACTTTGGTGATCCTCTGACTTTTTCTCTAGCGCCACCACTAGGTCCACATTTTTGGTTTTGAGTCAAATGTTTCAACATGCCATGATATTTTGTGCAGGTATTCAATAATAATCATCTAGTACATGTTGTTGTTGCATTTAGCCCAAAGCACTGGTGTGCCTTCGTACAGCTTCACAAAGCTGTTAGCATGATGGTAGGAGAAGGATCCTTTGATTCTTTAAAAACATTGTCTGATATTGAAGTTACATCTTAGAATATAACAAGCATTGCTGAGATTTTCCACAAAAATCATTTGGCATATAAAATACTGTATCATTCAAATTGACTTAATATATGTGTTTATATGCCTAATTAAATAAGTGGTTAAATACCAATTAGCTCCATATTTTGTGGCAATCATCCTTCTAAAAAACTATAAAAACAATACCACAGCAAAGGTCGTCCTTGTTGTCATCAAAGTCAGTTTTTGTTGACACTTCCTGCTTGTTTGAGACTATTAAAGAGACACTTTCACAAGTACAGAAACCAAGCAGGAGTGCCAAAACACCCTGATCATCTAATGTAACTCACGAGGCGGATTTCGTCAGCGACTCCACACTAAATTTGGCACCACAGGTTGAACAGACTCCACGAGCATCTGTTTGGTTTTTAGAGGAATTCTATAGATGTAAAACAGTGAGAGAGGGTGTGAGGAAACGGATGGAGCATCTGAATGTAAGAAGCCAAAGGTTTGAGCGGTACTGGTGTCACATTTCCCCACAACCTTCATCTCATCACAGACACCCTGCATGTATGACAGAGCAAAGGCACATAAATCATCTGACAGCCGTGGTTGTGAGTCAGAGTTACTCTGAAGCTTCTGCTAGAGATACTCATCCGTTATGACTAAAAGGCTGGAACCAGCATGTCAAATGTCCAAATGTCAGAGGGACAGGAAGAGAACAGGAAGAGGGGGAAGGTGTGTGCGGGGAGCCAGAGAGAAAGGTTGAGAATAGAGAGTGAAGAGCGAGGTAGAAATCAAGAGCAGTGACAGTCCATCTGGGAATATTCAAGCACAGAGGGAATATTGTAGCAGGTGATGGGCTGTAAAACTGTACTGTAGCTGATGGAATATTCACCCTCCATCAAACATCACCATGAGGTTAAATAAGTGTGCTCTACAGAGGAAATCATTTTACAGAACTGTAGCAATACAGACAAACTGATTCAGTTGTCTGTTTTTCAATTTAGAAAGCAACCGTAGAGAGGGCTGTTGACTCTTACTCTTGTTTTGTTTCACAATACATTTTCCAACTCAGTTACACCCTGAAAAGTAACCTTGAATAATAAATGTAACACATAATGTATGTAAATCAATTCATAGAAGTCCTTTTAATTTGTTTTACAAAATCAATGTATTTTTAACTGATTACCTGCTTGAAACAATCTCTTTCCTCTTACACGTTTCAATTACAACAAATTAGTGTCTGATGGAGTAACAGCCAAGAAGCAAATTGTTACAAAACTTTTTGAAACCCTCTTTTCTCTTCAGCAGTTTCTCAATGTCTCATAATTCACGAGGCTGCTCGCGTGAAGCCACCAGGAACCCTGCTTTGGCTGCAGATGTAGGATTGTTTAGATGCACTTTGGATATATTTGGCGCAGTCTACGAGTAATGAGCAGAGCAAAACAGCGGCGCGGTTCATCTGTAACCTTTCACTGACTCACGTGATTCTCTTCTCTGTATCTCTGCATCTGTATGTGTGTCTACGTGCGAAGGCTGTGTGTGTGTGACATGGACAGACTCGGACGAAATGAATTCATTGGAGAGGTGAGAGTGCCTCTAAAGAAACTGAAAGAGGGCGAGAACAAGCGCTACAATATGGGCCTGGAGAGAATTGCACAGGTAGGGGTTCATTATGTGTGCATGTGTGTGTGTGACTAAGCACATAAACCAAATGGGTTTCTGTGGACATATATATCAAGATGTGTCTTATCTCAATTGTTCATGTTTGCCTGGGGACTATCAGTCATCAATTTAAAATACTGCATTATAACGTGTAATAGATATTCACCTGGAGGCTATGTGGGCTATAACCATTATGTATCTTTTTCTCATTTTAGAATAAAGAAGCTAACAATCAAATGGTGGAGCAGGGAGCGGTCGTGGCAGAGGAGGAGGTAAAACTATCATCAGCTTTATCATCACGATCTTATTATAACCACTATCAACCAAAACATGGCTGACTATGAGTTCCTATCACTCTCCTATATCTGATACATTTGATCTTTTCAGCAATTGTAATGTATTCTCTTTTCACCATCTCTAAAGGAAAAGAAAGTTTAATTAAGCATTTTTTTAATTGGTATATGTTCCTGAGGCATGAACTCTAATAGACTATTGTGAAGGGAAACTACTCACAGGACTCCATATAGGAACATGTTGTAAATTACACCATGGCTGCCTGTCCGGCGTATTCCTCCTCTGGTGGTCGTTATCTAATTTCTATACAGGATTGTAGAGACAGAGGCTAATAGCTTTTGGTCTCTGATAGACTCAGATTAAAAGGAGAAAAGAGCAGTGTCATTTTGCTGGGCTCAGATGAAGCCTTTAATTACATGCTTTAATTTAAATACACCAGTTGCCCGTATATAAAAAAACACGCTATATCCTAGGTAGTAAAAAATGTTGCAGCAAATTTTTTGATTCCGTTTTCATTGTATTTATGTTTTATTTGTGTTGATTTGAGTGAAAAGTGTTTTGAGAAACTTTAGTGACCCTGCTGCAGGATTCCCCACCGTGTATTCACTGAAGAGGGAAACGTCAGGTTGATAACAGGTGCTGTGTCTGACACTGTTGTTTGTGCTGTGTCCCCAGCGTGGACGCATCCTGGTGTCACTGTGCTATAACACGGAGAAGGGCTGCCTGCTGGTTGGGATCATACGCTGTGCCCATCTGGCCGCCATGGACTCCAATGGCTACTCTGACCCCTTCGTCAAAATGTAAGTCATGTCTGATATTCATGACCAAACCTGGTACCCTATAAATCATGCTCATATGCAGCTATTCTGCATTAGCAATTCACAGTGGTTGGATTTTGTTATTGTATGGTGAAAAGTCAGAGTGTATGTTCATTTTAACATTTTCCACCGTAGTTGTAGACATTCGGGGGAAAGGTATGATTTACACATAACTCATTTCAAATACTGTCTCTGAATCCACCGCCTGGAATAGCCATGTTTTCTGACTGCATAGGGATCTTGTGGGAATTGTTTTGCTTGAGCCCTTGTTTTCCTAAATCTCTAATGGAGGTTGTGAGTGCAACTGTAGCACGATCAATAGAGTCACAACGGCTACATTTATGGGAAATGAATAAACCAGTATTTTCCTTTAATGTTCTTTTGTATGAGAGCAGTCTCATAGACAGGAAAGACAATTTTTTATTTAACATAATTGTGACTTTTTTCACTCAGGTGTGAATCCTTGGGTTATTGTGGCTGTGGGTGCCTTTTTTCCTTCTTTTTTTTTTGCCAACGCACCTGATAGAATATTGGGATGTGCATACACTACTGCTGTATATGGCCGTGATCTGACCTAAACTGATAAACTGGAAAACGATGGCGGTGAACATGTTGTCAGTATTGTGACATATTAGTTTTATGTCTGTGAGATTGCAGAATAGCTTTGTTTTGGAGATAATTGAGTTTCTTTTACAGTTTATAAACAACGATGATATACATAAGTGTGCACATTCAGTTTGGAAACGGAAGTACGGTCGAGTAATATCATGTCAAATTATGCAAGGGCAATAACCACCAAAGATTACAAATGCAACCCAAAAAAATGGATTTACATATCTGTGTGCTATTAGTGAGTGTGTATATAAGTTGACCAATATTTAGTGACTAGATATATACATTTATTTGGTGAAGAAAACCTAGTGTGTAATGTTACACCAGAGTTAAATTATGAGCATACAAGTCACTAGATTCTTATCACATTATCTGTGGTCATATACAGAACGTCAAATACCATGACACAGACTCAGAGCGTTGTGTTTATTGAGTTTTAAAATGGGCGCTACAGACACAAGCATTTTTGACCAGTTCAGTGGTAGTCAACACATTTAATAGCTTGCAGCCATAGATGCCACCGATGTTTCAGTATAAAAAGTGACTGTGTTAACTGGTGACTCTCATCTGAATGGCTTGCGTTTGCTCGTAGTGACGGCAACTATTGAAAACACAAACAGAACATGTAGGTGTCTTCGTAAAAGCCTTCAATCCATGTTAGGTACATACTCATCTCTTTTTATTGGCTATACCAACGAGACTACGAGCAACAACGGATGCATTCAGTGGAAAGTCACCAGTTAACATGAAATGTTCGTGATCCTGTAGGAATTTTGTAGAACTTAAGTCCGCTGTTGGAATATCAATTCTGACAATCGAACATGTACCAACCAGACATTTTGTTGCTGTTAACAGTTTTAATGTAATGTTTAAAGCTTGCGAACTCGTCTGATGACTGCCAAAATAAAACATGCCATGTCTGTGGATTTTCCCCTGAGGCTTGGCAGGGGAAGCCTCACAGCTACCACACTGTACCGATTCTATTTTACAGACCCAAAACATAGAAAACACCAAGTCCCACCTTGCAAATACGAGCTGCTCACAGCTAGAAAAACTCTGAAATTAAATTGGCAGTGGCCTTCTACATTCACAAAGAGCGAGCAACATGTTCCTTCAAAGATATAATACTTTTTGTGGTTTGTTTTCTGAGGAGTTTCTGGAGATGATTTATTACCAACCGCCACATTTTTCCAACTGTGAGCAGCTCCTCCTCCGACAATAGTGTGCAACCAAAAAGAAAGAAGCCAGGCATTCACTTGTTCCAGCTTCTTCAAAGTGAGGATTTGCTTCTTTACTTTCTTTCATATCATTGTAAATCCAATATCTTTGGATTTTGGATTGATGGTCTGATAAATCAATTCACCTTGGGCTCGGAGAATTTGAGATTTCCTTACATTTTATAGGTTAAACAATTAAGTTTAATCAATTTATCAAAAAAAAAAAAATCTATAGATTTATCAATGATTAAAACAAGTAATTGTGGCCCAGGATTTATATTACCAATCCTAGTGTTCTGGTGTTTTGTCAGACTGCGATTTTCAAAGTGCCTTTCAGCCGAGGAATGACAAAGTGTCCGACACAATGCACACCTGAGCCAACCTGCCTGTAAGGCAGAGGTGGTGACAAATAAAACCCACACAACTCAATCTCTGACCTGCCTGGTGCATTTTAAATACCAACAGTGCAGGGAGTGGGAGAGCTCCCACACAGGACAAGCAATCCTGTACCGAGCTCCAGGTTGCTGAAATTGCTTCTAAAGGAAGTTTTAACTGCTCTTAAGTAGCTTTTAGTTTTGTTGTGGCTTTTTTTCCCTGTTGATGAGCTGCTTCTTTGACTTTACCTAACGGCTGGATCAGTAATTGTTATCTCTCTGACTCGTGGTGAGACACCACAGGATCTCACCATTAGGAACTCGGTAACGAACACCCACAGAACACAAGAGAGATTGGATTTTCTTCCGTTCACGCAGATTTATTTGCATCACAAAGTATACAAGTAAACCGAGCTGTCTGGAGTCAACTAACTTCACAATTACATTATTTTATACCCTCCATTCTACCATAAGTCTCCCCCCCCCCCCACCCCCTTCGGAGATGTCTCCTCTAACCGAGACAAGTTGCACTGCGCACCTCGGACAAGTCATAGCAGAGGGTTTTTGATTAACCACAGTCTCCTTCCCCGCTTGTCTTCTCTTGATTATCTTGCCCTACGTTACAAATCTTGCACTACTTGTTTATCTACGTCTCCCTGTCTCGGTGACGTGAATAACATATGACAATGATACAGGCCAATATCACAGTATGAATGTGAATATACATGGATGCATTTCAAATTATGGATATTGTTGATTTTACACAAATATATTTCAAGACACAAATACATTTTTCTCCCATAGTTTCTTCAGCGGATCCAACATAGTGTGATGGGAATACAGTGATTGAAGGTTCAGTAAGTTTCTTAACTTGGTGTTGATCCCTTTGACCAAGACAATGTTTGTTTAAGGCCTGAGGATGATGATAAAAGATGCAGGAAAAAAATGGATTAGTATCCTCCTGATCCTTAATGTAGGTTTAAAGCTGAATCCAGCTTCTGCCAGCAGCACTTAAGTGAATGTGCACCAGTGTCATTCAGAGACTTTTGCTTGGCTGTTGTTGCTTTTTTTTATACTTTGCAATTACATTTATCATTATAAGTATTTTTTTCTTTCCTATTTTCAACCAACCTCTTGACAGGAAATTTGATCAACTGATTAGCCTCTTGCCTAGAGTTAGCTCAGCCCCCTCCCCCGCGACCCTGAATAGGATAATTGGTTACAGATTATGGATGGCTGGATAAATGGATTGATGGATGGTTAGCTTGTTTGACATACACAGCTGCAGGACACATTGTTTGAGATCTCAGAGGTGTGCACTTTGGCTCCTCTGTCAGCCGCTGCAACCTACAACTACCCACAACACCCTTCTATGTGTAAATCCCCAGAGAAGTTCACATGTATCATCACAGAACTATAAGTCTAGCTCTACATGAAGAACTGGCTGATAATGCACAGTTGATGGAGAGGCTGTCTAAAAAAAATTTAAGTGGCAGTGGTTTCAGCAAATGCCCCAAAAAATTGTATTTGTTTTCCTTGAAGTGACGAAGCCCTGTAGCATAGGAAGTATGACTTGTTCAGGAGGAAGTATTGGGATGTTGTTGAATAGCCACAAACTACTTTAACACGAGATGCAACTGTTTATTTCCTATCGGCAGTCAGTATTGGTTTCTTTTAACCATGGCCATTATAGTTCCAAAACTTTAAACACGTGGATGAATTAATTTGAACCCAAACCATGATGTTAACCAAGAGTTGGCATTTCTATCCCCCTCCTGTGCACATGTTAAAGTGTCCTTAGGCAATACACTGGACCAAATTGCTCCTAATGGTCAAGCCATGTGTGTGTTTCTAATTGAAGAGATGAAAGAGAGGCAAATTGTGAAGCGCCTGGGGAAAAAGCGCTTTACAAATGCAACAATTACTTATTTTAACCCAAATCTCTAAACCTAACCAACTAAGTATTTGTGCACAAACCTAATTAACCGTTAGAGTCCCAGTGAAACGGAAGTTAGAGCGACTTTAACTTCTGTACTGTAATGTATTCCCCAGAGTTACTAAATAGTTGAGCAGTGTAAAGTTACAAGAAGGATTTAAATCAAATCCTTCGCATTTGATTGGACCGCTAAAAGGTGGGCGGAGATGACACCTCATCTCATCTCCACACACACCTCCTCTGTCTATCAAGGCAGATTAAATAATGGATGAATGTCATGTCGAAATTGGTTTGTACTAGCTCACGTATGCACACGTCATAATTTGTTTTGCAGAGAAAAAAAGATGGCTTGATTCTGATATAGAAATATGAAGGAATGGATCTTTTTGTACTTTTTTTGCATGTATTGTTAAATAGGTGCACAATTATACTGAGGATGTGATCTGAAAGGTTAAAAAAGCATTTTTCATCTAATCTTGACCATCTTTAACCATAGTGGTGCTGGATTAGAAAACGCTACTGTGTGTCATTCTGGAGGGCATGGATGAAGAACTATGTTGTAGCTTAATTAAGAGGACGTGTTATAGATGAAAGATGGGAAGCAGAGGAAGGGAAGTTTGGTCTGAATGAGACAGCTACAATTACTGTACTGAAAAACATTTTCATCCGTCAGTCTGTTGCGGAAAATATTGAGCAAAACTTTTTTCGATACTCACCCACAGTATTGAGATTTTGAAAGTTGTCTGAAGTTTCTGTAGAGAGATGAGAGAAATAAGAAAAAAAAGTAAGCTCACGTCTTGTAAAAAAGAAATCTTTTGCACAGACATACGTGAATATTTTCCTTCTTTCTCTCCGAGGTACCGATTTGTTCCTCTACTTGAAAAGTGATGCCTTGTGCTTTGTCGGATTTCTTTGATGCACAATGTTTTTGAGTGCATCACAAAATCACATATGCACCCAGAGTATCCATCTCTTTCTATTTTGTCTGTCGCTTCTTTCTCCTCACACACTATATTGCATTTTATTATTGTTGTTGTCTCCCCCCCCCCCCTCTTGTTGGGCATCCTTTCACCGGATGTTTCTTTTTCTGCAGACTCTTTTAGTTTACATGACTTTGTTGAACCACTGCTCTGATCTGATTCGTATTAATGGCACTCAAGTTGGTTGGATTTTCCACTTGCCTGTCTGCCAAAGTTTCCTTTGTTCTCTTTTGTAACAGGGTCTCAGAAGTTTTAGTGAAGTTAACTTTAAACACACACAAATAAAATAGGGGTTGAATGTATTGCTGGCATAGGTGAATTACGTCTCTAGAGTATACTGAGCAATTAGGTCGACATAGGAGTAATGAATGAATTTGCTTAGCCAGCATTCTGGCTTACTTCACTGTCAGAGCGCTGATGTCCTGGAGCTGTAACACCAGCAATCCTCTTGAGGAATCTGTAAACTGATGTTGATGCTGGTCTTTCTTTTTCCATGCTGCGTCTGTGTGTGTGTCTGTGCATTTGTCCAGAGGGCTTTTCAAATTTGTCTTTTCTATCAATCAGCCTTTAGAAGCCACTCAAGTGACACAAGGTCAGAATTATCGCAGAACTAATTTGTCGTTCCTTCAAAAGGACAAATTAGCATTCGAAGACTAAATGACTTTACATCCTTCAGCTTGACTCACATTTCTCTTCACACATTACCTTAAACGTTTAAAGAACAAATTATTCTGTCAGAAAAAAAGACATGTGAAGGCAGAAAAAAGTGCAAAACATGTCAGATATTTCCTGCTGACCAAGCACACTGCCAAGCTTCACAGTTTTGTTCTCGCTCTCTTTTTCCTTCTGAACGCTTGTGTGAACTCCTCTCTGCAGCAGGCTGCAGAAAGCTCCACTTTTCAATTTTCATATATTTAAAAAAAAAATTGTTGTCTTTACCTCTCAGTGTCATAACTTTCGTTCCGTTTTTTTAACACCCGCTCCCTCCACTTCTATATTTGTGTTGTTTCTATCTCTCATTCACATGATGCTCTCGCTCTTCGGCTTGTCTCTCCCTCGACTAAACTTGCTGTCAGATTGGTTTTAGGTACCAAATGCTTGTGACCCCGGCATTTGGCAAATTTTCATGTGATTAAGTTATGAGGGTCCAATGACATAAAGGGCAAAGACAGATGAGAGAACATTTTAGCTTGCGTTATAACCTGTCCTGTTACATTTCATTTAATGTAATTTGCACATAGAAAACAGCATAAAAGCAAATGTGGAACATATAGTAAAATACTTGTTTTGTTTTTGTTTTTTAAGGACAGAAGAGGTCAAGAAGCCAAAGCCATTTTTTGGACTTTTTTGTTCAGCCAAATACAACAAACAAAGAAGCTCCTCTTCCTAATATCTTGACAAAATCCATAGTGCTCGTTCTGTGCAAAGAGGCTTTCTGAAGCTGACACAAAGCTAGTATGAGGCGCCAGCACTCTTGATTTGGCAAACTCAAACTTATTTACTTTGTAGTATGACATTCAGCAAGAAAAAGGCAGCAATGAAGGATATAGTAAGATAATGAGGGACTTTTGTACTAAAAAGACTGCTATATTGGAAGGTATCAAATTGATTTGTTTAACTGAGGCTGCTGAAGCCTCATAGCTTAGCTTCTTCGAAAGCATTTTTGCACAGAACAAAGACTGTGGATTTTGTCCCCCATGTTTTAAGGTTTATTCATTCTTCAATACAGATGCTGCAGACTTACACACTTACTGTGACTACTAACTCTGTCACTGTACAAATGTGAGTATTGTATTACTATTTTAAAAAAAATAGAGCTTAAAATAAAATATAAAATCTGTATGAATACAAACATCTACAAAAAAAAGATTAGAAATATTTGATTAATGTACTTGGATAAAATGAAAAGGATGTAATATAATACAAGTGAGCTAATGACTGTAGCATGGGTTGATAACATGAAGACAGCATAGTTAGAGGAGTTGATAGCAAAATCATTACCAACAGCAATATATATCTAACACATTTGGAATGCGCTGCAAACAATACTACGTTTTATAAATCTGCTAGCTTGAGGTTTTGTAGAGTCTGTGGCGGATGTTTTGAAGCTGTTGTGCTGCATTAGATTTGAGTTTGTTCTTTGTGTGTTCCTGTTTTATTTTGTTCCCCCCTTGTATGTCATTCTTAAAGACGTGTCCTCACTTGTCAGGACTGCAATATATGAGAAAAACAAAATAGTTTCATGGAACAGACAGTGTATAGCACAGAAAACTGTTAGTTTACTGTATCTTGCTGTGAACGACCTACTTTTTAAGGAAACCGCCAACAATAACTGAAAAGATAATCCCCACTATCTCTATGGGCCAGCCTTCCATGTTATGATTTATTCTTCACATTGAATTTGCTACAGTAATTTGGGTATAGTTTGGTTGCTGCTGTACAGAAAATAGATATTTGTGCTATCATTATTATGGATGTTGCTGTCAAATGTTCTTTTGTTATTCTGGAAATTGGAATCCCTCGTCTGAACGGCCTCAGAGCCGCATGTAAAATGTGATTTGGCACAGCTCAGACTGAAATGTCCCTCGGGCTCTCACCTCACCCTCTCACATGCTGCCGGTCAAATAGATGCTTTGTTTGGCCGCCTCTCCCAATGGATTTCTTTCTTTCTTTCTTTTTTTTTTCTCACGAAGGCAGACAGACCTTTGTATAAGCACTAAGTATTTTAATGCTGATTAGCTTCTGGAGAAAATGACCTTTTTAATATACAATAAACACCTAACAGAACCTGTGACTTGTGACAAGAAGCTGTTTGGTCACATGTCATCAACTGACCAACACTATAATCGTGAGTGTAACAGGTAATAGGTTTATTAGTAGTGTGTGCAAAATAACAGAAGCTGTCTATGTGCTATCAGAGGGCATTTCACTGTTGAGAATAATCTTTAAAGATGTGTGCAGAAAGAAAAGTTTCATAAAAGTTTTCATGTAATTCACACAAATTTGGCCACTGGACAGTTTGTGTTCATTCCCCCAAAATAGCCAATGTCCTTATATTTCACACTGTTGAACTTAAGACTATTATACTGTGTTTACTGCACCATCTGACAAGACTAGACACCTCCCACCTATATGCAGATTTGTCAGCTCCTGTTTCTAACCCACCCACCGCAGGATGATCATATTTAAATGTTTATTTATGGTTAATAATGCAGTGGTGTCTACTTGCAATCTCACTTCACAGGTTATTAAGTTAGTTATGCAGACATGAGTGGTGAGCAGTTCAACCAAAGAATGACTTCTCCATCTCAGATTGTTTCAGAAAAAAATACACTAAATTTGGTTGAACAGTAATATTAATGTTTCTTATAAATGTACTGTTACCATCATGTGATCCGTCAGATCTATCTTACAAACCCTTGGCCGGTTAAGCCCCCTAAAGCCGGTGTAGAACCTGAGGGGTTATTGTAAACATCTGGATACATTCTGATATTGAGGCTCCTTCGGTCAATCCTGGTTAAGACACATGCAAGAATATGTTAATAAGTTAAATTTTCAGTGAACCATTTGTGGGAGGACTGACTTCAAAATTGTCAGTTTGTCACTACTGTAACTTTAGCCCAATCATTTAATTTCATGAAAAATTACATTTTCATCACTGACAACGTCGAGTGCCTCAAGTCTTTGTGCCACCATTTATCAATTTCTCCTCCTCCTCCTCCTCCTCCTGTTCCTTTCCCACCTCCATCCCTCCATCATTCACTCATCCTGATTCCAGCTCTGAAGCGACAACCCCAAGCCCATCTCATGCATCAGCTGTCAGGCCAGGATTCGCCACTGGCTGTGGGTGGGGGTGAGGTCGGGCTAGAAGAGTGAGATATCTCACCGCCTGAACATCTTGACTTGGAATGTATGCTGATGATGATTCCCATTGCCCTTTAGCGATCCTTCTGTTGCCTCTTTACAGGAGGCATGATTACAATCTTGCTGTGGTCTACTGTTTCTCTCTTTCTGTCTCTCTGTCACTCTCTCACTGTCCCCATCTTTGTTCAAAAGACTTCTGGGTCACAATTATCTCTGAAAGAGATTTAGCAAATCTCCGTCTCCCTTTTGTTTCTACCATTCAGCAAAGTTCACTGTCAAAACGATTGGAAAAAAATTAACCGATTTAATTCCTTTCAACTCAGCAATAATGATTCTTCTGGCCTTGTTTAAATGTTAAAATGCATTTTAGGATCTCTATTGTACAAACCTTGCCAAACTGCACATTTAAATCTCTGTCTATATTTTCCCTGTCTCATCTAACTCGCCAGAAAGCAAATCAGCAAATTCACAAAATGTCAAACTATTTCTTTAAGTTCAAGCTATGTCTCATAATGAGGTTGGACACCACCTAAAGAGTGTACGAGGTCCCGATGCATTCATGTCCTCTTTAGCTTTTGCTCTCTTTTTGTCCCTCTCTTTCTCAGAACGTTGCAGCCAGATATGGGGAAAAAGTCAAAGAACAAGACTACAGTGAAGAAAAAGACTCTCAACCCTGAATTCAATGAGGTACAAAGTGACTCCTGTTCTACAAATAACCACAATACACCTATCAACTTCTTTTCTTTACTGAGCTCAAGAGTATGTTCTGTAGTGTATCTGATGAGCATAGCAATTAAGAATACTTTTTAAAACTTTAAACATTCCTTAATTGAATGTGTTCTGTGCATCAATCTGCATGTTTCATCTGAAAATTCATTAAGATACGAATTCAGTTTCTTTCGACTCGTATGTTAATTAATCATTGATATGAATATGTTCTTGTGTGCACCACCTGCACAGGAGTTTTCATATGAAGTTACCTTGGACCAGCTGGCAAAGAAAACCCTGGAGATCTCTGTGTGGGACTACGACTTGGGAATGAGCAACGACTTCATAGGTAGGCTGAGAAAAAAACTGAGGAGCGGAACGAAGCTGCAGCAGCAACTGTGCAAGAGTGCTGGAATGAAAGCGGCGCAATTGCGAAAAACATTACAAACCAGGCCGAGCGTAGGCGGAGGGAGGAGTAAAGAAAAGAAATGCGGGGAGATGAGGGGTAATTATGAGGCTTGAGGAGAACGATTTGAAAAAGGAGAGTTTGAGTGGAGAAGGAAATAGAGACGCTTTAGAAATCAAAAAAGGATCCCCATCCTTCATGGACTTGGCACATCAGATCGCTGCTGCTTCTTCGTCAGACTGCTTAACAGCTTTGGCATGGCCCTAATGTATATCATGGTAATGGAGCACATGGGAGCTTAGGGAGTGATGGGGAACTAGTGGGGAGGCACAGTGAGAATGGATTACC